GTCCTGTCCCAATAAAGGCATAAAAAGCCCATCAATATAATTAAACAAAATAAAATAATTAAAAAGTTTGAAAACGAGCAGTGTTGTTGTAATTACAACCTAAATATCAGAGGAAATATCTTGGCTGATATTGTCTTTGAATATTGTGTTGGACAGTGGGAGCCACACAGGTCAAAAAGGTTGAGAAAATGCTTTAAAGGAGACATATTATGCCCCTTTTTACAATATGTAATAAAAGTCTCTGGTGTCCCCAGAATGTGTCTCTGAAGTTTCAGCTCAAAATAGTCCACAGATCATTTATTATAACATTTTGAAAATGCCTATTTTAAGTGGAAGCAGAAACGCGCTGTTTTTTGGGCCTGTTTCTTTAAATGCAAATGAGCTGCTGCTCCCCGCCCCCTTTTCCAGAATAGAGCTGCGCCATTACAGCTCGGACCTGCTAAAAACATCTGTTTTGGTTATGATTATCATGTTTATCGAGCTGAAATCATGCGTTTTAAACCATATGAGTTTAAACTTCTGATATACGGTTTTCTGAGTGCGCACATCCGAAGCACACGGACAGAAAGCGGCTGTCACCACATGCGAGTACTAAACTAAGTTCTCATTCGCACACAAGTTTACATAAAAAAAAACACACAAGTTACAAAAACAGTCGGTTATGTCTGTGAAGGTAAACTGCTGGGAAATAAATAACATGTTTATTTTAGATCTGTGTGGCAGCAGCAATATACAGTAAATAACTCAATAAATCCACTTCTCTCTTGTCTCCTCTGAGGCTGGGACTCTAAACCGTGTTCTGTGCTCGTCTGTGAAGCCAAAGACAGAACAGTTAGCATGTTTTGCTCAAACTTTCACCATGGCATTAGAACTGGTACACCGTTGTCGCTTGCAAAATCAAAATGACGGCACTGTGGGTGTAAACTTACAGATTAAGGGTCGGTAATATTATAATAAGATCCCTTTGCCACGTCACCAAGGGAGCGAAATCAGACGCGCTCGTTTTCTCAGATGCTTGCAGAAAAAGGCTTACCAAAACAAAGTTACTGGGTTAATCTTTTTCACATTTCCTTGATTGATATATGCACCAGGGACCTGATTATAGCACTTAAAACCGGGAAAAGTCAGATTTTCATGATATGTCACCTTTAAAAATGTCTTTTGTGTTCCAATGAAATATCAACAGCACATGTTTGGAACAACATGAGGTCTCTTGCTTCATGTTCTCATTTCTCTCTTCTCTCAGTATGTTGTGATCCCCACACGGCGCTCCACAGCGGAAGCTTTTCAGATTGTGCTCTCACACTTGCTGGGCGACGCTATTAGCCCTTACCTCATAGGAGTGGTACGTCAGTCTCACAATTGCACAGAAAAAGTCTTTCAGAGTTCTTTTTAAAGTGTTTTCCCCCCTCTTAAGGTGTCAGACTCGATAAAGAAGTCGGATTCATACATGTGGGAGTTTCGTTCACTTCAGATGTCACTCCTGCTGTGTTCCTTCGTGGCCGTGGGGGGTGGAGCTTTCTTCCTGGCAACGGCCCTCTTCATCGAACAAGACCGACATCTGGCAGAGAACTACGTGCCCTCTGGTGAGTGAAATCACTGATGGCATCACAGTCTTGTCTTAGATTAGAGGCCAATTTCAGGACAATCTTGGAAGTCCTATTTGTGTTTGATTGTTTATTTTAGTATTTATATTTAGTGTATATATATATAAGTTTTTGTCACTTTTGCACTTGTCAAGGACAACATTTCTAAAACTTAAGGTTTTTAAAGTTTATCATGTAATTTATATTTTATTTCAGATTTATTTCAATTAATATATTTTTTTATATATATATAGTTTGTTATATTCAGTGTATTTTACAATGGATTGGTTTTAATGGCCACTAATAATCCTGCTTTTAAGAATGAATTTTAAAATAAATATTGCTGGTTGAATACAACCTCAATGTCTATGAATGGCATTTTGTGTTTTTCAACGAATCTGTAAATATTCCTTTCAGTCTCTTCATTGAACAAAATGCTGGCTAATTGTTATAAGTAATCATTTCCATTTGTGGGTTTTGGCTCTTTATATGTAATTCTCAGTCACCTAATTTTTTAGGGTCATTATAGATGCTTTGGAAATATAACATACTGATGTGTCTTTTTATTTTTCAGATGACCTATTTGTGTTTGATTGTTTATTTTAGTATTTATATTTAGTATATATATATATATAAGTTTTTGTCACTTTTGCACTTGTCAAGGACAACATTTCTAAAACTTAAGGTTTTTAAAGTTTATCATGTAATTTATATTTTATTTCAGATTTATTTCAATAATTTTTTTATATATATATAGTTTGTTATATTCAGTGTATTTTACAATGGATTGGTTTTAATGGCCACTAATAATCCTGCTTTTAAGAATGAATTTTAAAATAAATATTGCTGGTTGAATACAACCTCAATGTCTATGAATGGCATTTTGTGTTTTTCAACGAATCTGTAAATATTCCTTTCAGTCTCTTCATTGAACAAAATGCTGGCTAATTGTTATAAGTAATCATTTCCATTTGTGGGTTTTGGCTCTTTATATGTAATTCTCAGTCACCTAATTTTTTAGGGTCATTATAGATGCTTTGGAAATATAACATACTGATGTGTCTTTTTATTTTTCAGATGACGCACCAATTATTGTTCCAAAGAGAGGGAGGTCCACTAAAGTACCAGTGTCAAGTGTTTTAATTTGAGATGATGCAAGGATTTGGATGATTCTCAACACAGGGAACAGCACTCTGATTGGCGTAGGCAGATAGAGCCAGTGCCGTCAGCAGCCAATCCTGGACCAGTAATCACTGATTGGACTATCTCCACAATAAGGAGTTTTATAGTAATTTATTATGCTTATGTTTTTGTTTATATCCTTAACACCCCTATTGATTTGGGACATTTTGGACTAAATAATATCAGTAACATCTTACCTGGTAGTCCTGTGTGCTTAGACCATTCTGCTTTCCCCCGGATGAGTCCTCTGGGAGGTGAACACGTGGGAACACATGGGGGGGAAAAAATGGAAAGCGGTTATATGGTGGGAACATTTAATTCCCTTTAATTGAAACTCATCAAGATGTGTTTTAGAATTCATGTAAATTATATTTGAGATGTTTTTATTGGAGGGGATCTCAATTGGTTTTTCAGATTGCTATCTATAGGGTCTTAAGTCAGTTAACTAAAACCGAGTTACTCTCAAAATTCTGTTGCATTTGTTTTCATCAAAGCTGGACTATGACTAAGAACTAGCAGAGTCAGACTGAGCTTGAGCAGCACTGAAGCCTGTATATATGTGATCTGCCTTTTACAAACTAAAGTCTTTCCTCCTGTTTTAATGTCTTCTATACGAACAGTTGAGCTTTTAGGGTCTTTTAGGAAACGCACCGAAAACAAACACTAATGCTACTGTAGCATGATTCAGATTTATAACTTGATTATTTTTTTAAAATAACATTGTTACATATACTTGTTGCAAGGGTCTGGTTTGTGGCTTGTTTTAATTTGCCCTTTAAACATTTTTGTTTGTTTGTTTGTTTAATTTAAGCAGTTTCTTGTGCATTCCCTCTGCTGTGGATGTTTTCCACACTATTCTTTTGGGATAATTTGTGAACTTTGCTTACTAATCTTGTTTTGTAAACTTTTAAAAAAAATATTAAATGAGAAATGTAATCTAAGTTGTCTTTTTGATCGGTTTTCTTGTGTTAAACTTGTTTTAAATTGGTTACCTTATTTCTCCTTACAGCACATTGAAATAAGGGCGAGTATTTTTTATTTCTGCTTTATATCTCACTTGCTCTCTCTCTTGCAAGTTTGCATTCTCTCTCTCTTTGCAGTGGCAAGAACGATGATCAAGGTTTTTCAGTTGCTGTGGTTTCCTGTTTGTAGGTGGGATATAGAGATGCAAGCCAAAAAAAAATATTAAATGAGAAATGTAATCTAAGTTGTCTTTTTGATCGGTTTTCTTGTGTTAAACTTGTTTTAAATTGGTTACCTTATTTCTCCTTACAGCACATTGAAATAAGGGCGAGTATTTTTATTTCTGCTTTATATCTCACTTGCTCTCTCTCTTGCAAGTTTGCATTCTCTCTCTCTTTGCAGTGGCAAGAACGATGATCAAGGTTTTTCAGTTGCTGTGGTTTCCTGTTTGTAGGTGGGATATAGAGATGCAAGCCTGTTTGGTAAATTTGCTGTGAAAATTAGTCTCGTGAATGAATTATGACTACTGAAGCGCCTGAATCGAAACATGCGTTGTCTTTGCAGTGGAACATTCGGTGGATGATGTTGTGCTTGTGAGAATACAATGTACCAATATGTCATTCCTGTCATTTGTTTGTATAAGTTACAAGAACACCACAAAATGCCACAAGAGTGGGAGGCAAGTTTGAGAAATTCCCTGAGAGACTCCCTGTCCGCCATAACGAAGCGACTAGTTAATGCTTACAGTTTGAATCAATGTTTTTAACATATATTTTTTAAACTCCCTCTCATTAATCTCTTGTAAAGCTGCAGGGAAACACCTGTGTTCTGTGATACTTTATTTACGAACATTATAAAGCATGAATTACAACTCAATTGTTGATTGTTGGGTTTTTTTGAATGACCAATTATTATTTGACATTAAATCTTGCAATGGGACGCCACAAAAATTGTTCTAATGTTGTCAATTGCTCACCCTAGTAACTCAATGTCAAGATAACATAATGCTTTTCTTACTCCATAAGGTTTAATGACTTTATCTTCTGAGTCTAACATCTGACAAATGATGAAAAAGAAAAAAATGCTATCAAATCTGCATGGCGGCAGAAAACCAAGCAAGAAAGCAAACCTTCAGATATAAGAGATGAGACGAGGAGGGAGGTGAAATGAGCAAGAGAGCAGCCAGTTACAAAGATGAAGAGAGGGGGAAAAAGATGCTGACTGGTGCAAGTGATAGAACGACACGTTCTCTGAGCCTATGAGGAGGCCGAGAGCAAGTGCAGCGAGGAAAGTTCTTCTCGGTAAAGGCCCTTTAGATCAGGACACACCTCAGCGGCTCATATGAAATAATAAAACTTACAAGAATTAACTTCAGCAGATATGAGCAACTGGCAATAAGCAACTGACTACTGGGATTGCTTAAATTTGGGTTGGGAGGTGAACTAAAGGGGAGAAATTGAGGAACAAGGCGGGAGGAAAATGGTGGCACCTTCAGTGTGAGCTGTGAGTTAGGTGTGATTTATACAAACTGCAGCGTGTGTGTGTGTGTGTGAACTGGTCGGCAGTTTAATTGCAGGTTTCTGCTGAGCAGAACGTGGTGTCTTGATTGACTTGATTGCTGCTACTGATACTGGTAAGCTTTTTACTTTTTCTCTTCAAGTAAAACTGGCATATCGTTTTGTGGAGAAAGTTTTCTGTGCCATTATACAGAGAGCTTGAATTTGAATACAGTAATATTCATATCTCTGATTTTTTTTTTGCCAATCACACTTTTTTCTACAAACCTCATTTCTACAAACTGTAAAGAAATCCTACAATATATGAGCTGTCACTTTCAATCAGTGCAGATGACCTTGGGTTTTCTTCTATGCATGTAACATGCCATTTAGCACCAACTTGGTTGACATGATTGGCAAAAGGTTTCAAATTGCCATGAAAATTAATCAGAATTATTCATCTTCCTCAATTTCGGGTGCTGACTTCATATTAAGACAATAAATGTTTCGAAACACATAGGCTAATTGCCTTTGCAAGTCATCAAACATAACGTTTTGCCAAAAAGATTTATTTAGATTATTTATTTTCTTACTAATTCACTCTAAATGCTGGCTTGTAATCTGGCTGTAGTTTGATAAAGATCAGAGGGTCAAGAGTTCTTCAACCGCAAATAAAACCTCATTATCACATTCACTGTCTTTCATCAAGCCAATTACAATAACATTAACACTTAGATTTTTTTACTCATGCTTTTAATTCTGAACAACCATTATTACGTATGTGAATAATTTTATGCATATAAATGAGTCTTATTTTGTTGGATTTATAATAATAAAAGTGCATGATAAAGTGCACTATAATATTGAAGAGTTAATGATTGTCTATGAAATGTCTATCAGAATCATGTTGGTTGCTCAAGGCAACTTTGCTTGTACTTAGATTAGGAAAATGTAGGTAAGGCTGCCATTTGCCCTGCTTTTTTGGGTTCTAGGTAGTAGTTCTCTAGAACTCGACAGCTCTGGGATTAGAGTGAGGCCCAAACCTCTCATAATGTGTCGTTTTTTCTCTGCAAAATACAGGAAATCCGTTTCCTGGCACTGAATGTAACCACAGACAGCCACACACTCACATATATAGAGATGTGTAAAAACTTGCATGGCAGGTGATGCTGAGTGAAATTTCGCAAATTGCGAATTTGCCTAATTAAAACTGGCAAAACGTTTTAACTGAAAAGTGCCAACCACTCAAGGGATTTTTAAAAATGTTACAGAGAAGAGCTTTTTGTATCCATTAAAAGGCACACAGGTAATCAGGAGTTTATTTGATCTTTTGAGTGTTATACATAAGTGTTAAAATTAGCAAACGGCATTTATAAAGCAAATAAATAATGCATTGCAAAAATGACTATTAGGAAAAAGGAATTTATATATATTGTGATGTTTATACACAAGTTAAAGAAAACAGTCTAAAAATTTGATAAAATACACTTAAGGGTGTTTCTTAAACTTTAATGCTTTTACGTCCCAGATTTGTATTAAAACAATACTGAGCACTAACTTTTTTCGCTTTTTGTTAATTTTTTGTTGCATTAAATTTATGTTGTTATTTATGTTTTGTTTTGTCACATTAAAATGATCTTGAAAAGTTTTTTTGTAATCATACTTAAAAAAAAATTTTTTATATTTCCTGCTTTTTAAATTCTTTTGTGTATAGATTTGTTTTTAGCCATGTCCAAACCCAAACTTTAAATCTTAAAACATGAAAATACACCATCAAAATTTGAGAATTACATATTTAAATCTTTAATAACATAAACAAAGGATTTTTTTTTTGTAAAATTAGACATGTGATGTGTGAATAAAGAGAAATCAAAGTAAATAACATGTTATTCAAATATTTTAATTGTGTTATTTCCAGTCGAGCTGTACATTTTGTAGAATTTTGCAAAGTGTGAAATTATTTCATTGTGTGCATAGGATGCCCAAAATGCAATCTAAGAAATTATCCTTAGCACGGGAGTGCATCATTTTATTCCAAAAATATTTAAAATGCAATTTTACAACAAAATACAATCTAACACAATACATCATTTGAGATGTGATATAAATGGCACTGTAAGAATTTAGTATATGAACTTTTTGACATTGTTAATAGACCAATTAAAATAGTGAGAGAGTTTTTCTGAAACAGAGACTATATATAGATTATTTGAAATTAAAATTTTGAGTTATAGCTGAAGAAACGCCTTTATATTCAATATATGTATTCTCTAAAAACAAGTCCATATGCAGCACTTCTCTGGCTTCTCAGTTAAATGAATAGATGTTAAGATGTTTTTACTGGAAAACAAGATGATACTGGTTAGGAATAGGATTTTTGACATGTACAAACGACTATTAGACATACTAGTCATCAACACCAAGTTCTGCAAGAAAACAATCCACAAAGATGCAAGATAGTTAAGACATCTAAATGTCCATGGTGGAGATCAGAGCAGCTCTTCGGTTTTAAGAACAGTATATTAAATGATAAGGAATAAATTATCATGATTAAAGAGCTCATGGATGGAAGATCTGTTTCTTAAAGATTGTGAGAGACCAGTACTTATTGCTAACATTAAGAAACAAAACACTAAGTAAACCCTCTTACTGTTTTTTCATTTGTATAGTTAAAACAGGTCAGCTTCATAAAAACTAAATGAAATGAGTTCATCTGACCTTTCATATGCGGCTTCATTTATACAAAATGAGTGGATGGAAACATTTCCCTGGTTTAGTCACACTAACCTAAAACCACAGATTCAGAAGAATGATGTTGCTCTCTGCTATGGCCAAATACTGCCATAAATCAATGTTCTTGCGTTCCCTTCTCAGATATGGACTCCACTGCACTGCTGTCTGTGGTGGGTGGGGCTCTCCTCCTGTCAATCATCCTTGTAACCAGTCTTTGTACATACTGCTGGGGGCATAAACAACCAAGTAAGACCTCCTAACTCTTATCTGTAATAAAAATAGTTTTTGTCTCATCAAAGCTTTATGTTAAAAATGATGTTTGCGGTATACTTCAATTCAAATCAATGTAAAACTCACCGTATAACATGGCTTTGCACAACTATAACAATAACCCTGTGAAAGAGTTGTATGATGTACACAATACACGAACATTTATAATCGAGCTATAGAAGTTTTTTTGTGTAGTCGAGCTGCAGTCACCATCTTTCTGTTCAAGAGTACATGACACACTGCAGTCGACAGTGATGTGACATTTGAACCGAGGCATCAGAGCTGGATGCCAGACGAAGCCTCGATTCGACGCTTGTGTTGTTAACGTAGAAATCATGTCACAAATGACAAATGAAGCCTCACTTTCTGTCCAGTCACGTGTGCGATTCATCTTGCGTGTCGGAATGTTCGAACCCCAGACCTTACTTTACGAGTAAGTTTTCATTCAGACTTATTCAATTACAATTTTAAATACCCAGTCATACAAGTAATAGGAAGAATACAAATTATTTCAGGAAAATAAAATATTTGCCATATGCAATTCATATACATTATTCTTCTATTAGCATACATCATATTGATATTCGAACTGGCATTTAATGCCACAGTTTAATGGGTAAATTAATTGATCAGAGGGTTAAATTCAACAAACACACACACTGTCAGGCTTTTATTTGTGCACGCAACATGAATCGATCTATGGAATATGTGGTTATGGAAGGCCAAAAGGGACAAAAAACATGTGAATTTTAACAAGTCAACAACAAGTTAAATACGTGTATTTCACGAGTACTTGACGCGTATTTCACATTGTTTGTGTGAAAAATCAGCGCATTAAATATGCATATTTAACACGTATATAACATGTTAAATACGTGTAAAATATGCATTAAAATCTGTTTGAATGGGTCAGTGTCATTGGCTGCTGAAGACTTGGGTCAAACCATTTCTGTGAGCTTTGAATGGTAATTCATAGACTAGGCTACTACCATTTAACATGCTATAGATCAGCTATTCAGCCTATTTATTTTGTCCTTATTTGTCTTTTTTTTTGTATAACCTATATCAGTGGTTCTCAAACCTGTCCTGGAGTACCCCCAGCCCTGCACATTTTGTATGTCTCCCTCATCTATCCCACCTGATTCAACTAATGAGCTCATTAGTGGAGACTAGTGATGGGAAGTTCGGAACATTTTACAGACTCCGATCTTTGAGTCTCGTTCAGCAAAATGAACAAATCTTTTTTCGAGTCATTTCGCTCATTTCATTCATTTTAGCAAAATGTTACGTGTTACTTCCCTAACACATCTACTACTTACGCAAACGTTGATCACACTACAAACAAGACAAAACTATAATGCTATAAGAAACAGAAAATATGAATTCATTGTTTACTTGTATCTTTAGTCTATGCTAGCTCACCTCACCTTATCTGACAAGTCTTCGGGTTTGAGTCGTTCTTTCATCACGTGACAGCCACATAAGCTTAACCAATGCAGTCTGAGCCTGAAAGAGAATTGATTAGTTCATCTTTCGAGTCGTTCGTTCTTTTGTCACGTGACGTGACAGCAACCTTTCCATTCCTTACAAACGGGTGCATAGTTATTATTATTATTTACTCTTACAGTTACGTGATGTGTTTCTGGTCTCAAATTGTATTTCAAATTTATTTCTTAGTTTATAAATGTGTGAATTTTTGTCATGATGGTTCTTTTCCTGTGGTAATAAAGAGTTGGTTATGCTTTAAATTTTGTCCATATGATGGTGAAATCACTTTGATAAAGCAGAGATACTTGTTTTTTGCATTGGTTAAGCTTTTGGGGCTGTCTCGTGATGGACGAACGACTCAAAAAACCCGAAGACTCGAAAGGTGAACTAATCCAATTCTCTTTCCAGCTCAGACTGCATTAGTTAAGCTTATGGGGCTGTCACGTGATGAACGAACGACTCGAAAACCCGAAGACTCAAAACAGGTTAACTAATTCCAGTACAGAACCTATAGGATGCTGCGCATGCGCAACTGAACGAATCACTCACTGAGACTGCTCGTTCTTCCCGAGTCACATTAAAGATTTGTTCAAAATGAACAAATCGTTCAAGAACGACCCATCACTAGTGGAGAACCCCATCTGAGGGTTGTCCCCCCCTAAAAATATGATTAAAAACCACGCTGTGTATTGTAAATAACAATGTTTTATACTTTCAATAATTGTGTAAGTAGTAAAACAACACAAACGGGGCAAAAATGCATTTTAAGTTTAGAAATATTTTGAGTCTCCCCCCTTCCTTGCCTCACAGTGCTTTGGTACAAATGCCTGCTTTCCTCTTTTACATCACCTACACACAAGTCCAGTGAGAGAGAACAAAGTCAATAGTTGTGGAAGTCCAGTAAGTAAGGCTGTCAAGGATATTTTATTCACTTAAACATCGGATGAAGTGATTATTTTCTCTTTAATACAAATGATGCCAATGTATTTTTCGATGAGTCCGCAATGTTAACAATAATAACGTTACCTGCTTGAGGGAAAGGGTTGCCAGGTTTTCATAACAAAACCCGCCCAATTGCTACGCAAAACTAGCCCAAACTATCCGCGTTTCGAAGGGGTTCCCCGGTAAAAATTGAATTCCGGGGGCTAAAATACACATTATTGGGGTCGCTTCAACCCACAGACATGAAAAACAACCCACGGCAACAGTGATAAAGTAGCCCAATTCCATAGGAAAACCGCAGACTTGGCAACACTGTGACGGACAGTAATGTCTACAACTGACACAAGCTCTGTCACGGCACGACCACAACAGCTTTAAGTTGTCTAATTTGGCACGGTCTCCCTGCTGCACTAATAGTAGTAAGCCATTTCTCTGTGTATACGTATCCTTACAAGTACAATATTAGCTGTATTATTTGTGTCCCCTTCAAAAATGGCTCATGAGAAATTTTATGTTTATTGTCCCCCCCCCCCCCCCCTGTTAGACGAGATTTACGCCCCTGGGGCCTCATTTATAAAATGTTGCGTATAAACCGTCCTAAATTAGTTCTAAGATCATTTCTCAAAAGTGCGTAAGTGTGATTCAGAGAAAACTAACGTGCGTACACCTCTCTACCAGATGTGACATTTATAAATCGTAAATTATCTTGAAATTGTGCGCAGCTGACTAGTGTCAGATCTCCGCCTTGTAAATTCCCCCTAATTAATATCATTACCATATAAAAGAGCACACGCCAATATCCGAATTTCTATGCTTGAGAATGACGAGCACAAAGAAAAAAAAACTTTACTGAGTCTGAAATTAAGGGTCCTGTTGGCGGAGGTAGATGTTCGTACGGGGACACTTTTTATTTAATAATGTGTAATTATTCTGTGGACAAACAATGTGTGTGTAGTTATATATTTTCTGTTGACTATTATCAAAATTACTTCTTCTAGAAACAACTGAAATAATAATAATAGTAGTAGTAGTAATTGTAAAACAATTCGGTTTCCAAAAGTAAGAATAAACTACGAATTCAAGTAAAATTCATCTTATAAAAAGTGAGCCATCCTACTTTTAAAATCACTTGCTATGACAACTAATAAAAAGTTTAGTGTCACGAAATTCTTGCAAAACTTTAAAAAACATTATTGAAAGAAAAATTGGACGTTTCATATAATAAAATAGATAAATGATTACACGATTATGGTCTCCGGTCTGAAAAAACCTGCATGTGATTTGTCGTTTCTTTATATTTACACAGCTGCTCAAACGTGCCATTAATGTACGGACACAAAAATATATAGCATATTTTATATAAATATAACTGATGTAAATGACAAAAACAAAGTTTAAGGCTGATGTCTCTATTCATTTTCACAGAAGCAAAGCAGCAGATGTTATAAATAAAAACAGTTAACAATGTTATTGAATAGAATATATTAAAACCATTATTGCACGACATAACCTATTCTTATAGGCTACACAGACAAAACAGTCGGAGATGCGTTTATGCATTTTTTTTCTATTTTACGCTTTAGTAGTAAATCAAGACTTCATAAGTTCTCGTGTAAAATAAAATAATAAAAAACAACATGTAATAAACTGTGTACCGAAAGCGAGTAAAGATCTCAACTTTAGGCTACTAAAAAGGTCAGTTTAAACTCGCAAAAACTGCCATTAAAAAAAATCTGACTACACTGCACAATTAATCTCTTACACTGCATCTTTGTTGTTTATGATGAATTCGGTGCTTGCATGTGCATTACCTGTGTACCTAATTACTGTTTGTCTGATCATCATTATTGAAACCTCTTTTTGTTCAGAGATGAGTGCATAATTTCTGAAAAAAAAGAGGTTTCAATAAGCGCCACCTGCTGGCGATAGCTGTAAATGTAAGCACAATAAAAGCTCACGTTGTTAAGACAGATATTGATTACAATGGTCTGTATCTTAAACCTGCATTAATTGCTTACCTCACCTGAAATACGCGTATTTGTCGTTGTTGACGTGTTAAAATTCACGTGTTTTTGGACCTTTTGGCCTTCCATATGTAGCTGCTTTGTCCGACAGAGCTTCTTTTACAGGCTTTTGGCTGCTTTATTTTTTACTAACCATCAGATGGCACTGTTTTCGACACTCTCAAAGCTTTGAATCTTTTCCCGGCACAGTCAGAGAAAAGCCTCAGTGCTTCATGAAGCTTCGTTCGCCCATCACTACTGCATGACATTTCAAAGATTGAATACGCGTAGTGCATCGCCTGTGTCTTTTACTGAGCATGCGCAGAACGCAGAGGCCAGTTAATCAGATTGTCGTTCTGCACATGCTCCGTAAGAGAGACAGGTGATGCACGACACATTCTTGAAATATTTGATGTATGTGCTGGTTGAAGCCGACCAACAGTTATTAGTATCTAGGTCTGTTAGCCCGACTTCGTAAAAACATATATAAATTTATTTTTTTGGCCATTTTTGTAGTCTATATTTTTGAAAAAAATATTTTGAAATAAATTTTAAAAATGCACATTTTAAAGGTATTTAATTATTAATGAATTTAAGTATTTAAGTATTAATCAATATATTTTAGCCTCCATATAGTTCAGTCCAAGAAAATACATTCACACATGTATTATTATTAAACGTTAAATCATTAACAATCTAGTTTTGATAGGCTATTCCATCCATATTTGCATTTAGCCTAAATGTAGGCTATATTATAAGAACTGAAATGTATTTTCTTGCCTCTGAAATACATTTTGAACTATATGATTGAAACTAAATATACTGTATTTTCAATTTAATATATTTATTTCATTTAGCTTCACTGTTTACAGCATATATTTAGCATATATTTAAAACAGATTTTGTCCAGAAAAACATTTTGTTTTATGGAATGATTTAGTTTGTTTATTGGCTATATTTTATTTCTTTTATAGCATCCATCCATCAGAGGTCCAGTGATTCAGAATACCCAGCGTAAGAAATCAAATCTTGCATAGCCTGTCTCACAGTATCTCAGAAGTGAGTACACCCCTCACATTTTTGTAAATATTTTATTATATCTTTTCATGTGACAACACTGAAGAAATGACACTTTGCTACAATGTAAAGTAGTGAGTGTACAGCTTGTATAACAGTGTAAATTTGCTGTCCCCTCAAAATAACTCAACACACAGCCATTAATGTCTAAACCGCTGGCCACAAAAGTGAGTACACCACTAAGTGAAAATGTCCAAATTGGGCCCAAAGCATCAATATTTTGTGCGCCCACCATTATTTTCCAGCACTGCCTTAACCCTCTTGGGCATGGAGTTCACCAGAGCTTCACAGGTTGCCACTGGAGTCCCCTTCCAGAAGTTAGAGAGCTCCTCCACCTTCTGTTTGAGGATGCCC